CCACAAAAGCATCCAGAGATATGTCCTCAGGTTCCAAGGGTGAGCTTGAGAAAAAGTTGGCACAAGTAAATTCCACACTGGTGTAGGTATCACATGACCTGGAATAGGTCTGTATTAAAATCCGAGATCAAATCTGCAAAAGAAAACAAAAAAGCAATTAATATTGAGGCAATTTAATTACCATTCACAATACACCCAATATTCATAGCTATGGTATGTTTGGTGTAAATCAGCTACAAACTGATTGGTGACAAATCAACACAAAGTATTACATAATAGTTAAATGGCAGAAATTTAAAACATCGTTCAAAACTTTTCACACATACAAATCTATAAGTGTGCTTTATTGTGACAGCACTAAATACAATCCAGTGCAATAAACTGGCTTCAGAGATTTCTTAATTAATAGAGTACACCTTATTGTAGTGTAATCTAACAGGTTTGATAGAGAACAATAGTGAGCCACAAAACAAGGAACACACCATACAGTTTTTGAGAAGTTCAAGGCAGGGTCATGTTATAAAACGATATTCCTTGTGCACATCACAAAACTGGCCTTTATAGGTGAGTACCAAAAATAAAGTCATTGTTAACAGAAAGCCATAAAAATACTGTCTGCACTGTTTCACAAGCCATTTAGGGACACTGTAAACATGTGGTTCTTTGGTCAGATGAGAGCACTTTTTTCTTTCTTGGGCTATGTGAAAAACTGTGCAGCGGAAATCAAGCACTGCATATTAGCCAGGACAAACCCCCTCAAGGTAGTGGCAGCATTATGCTGATTTTATTCAATAGGGACAGTGAAGCTGATGAGAGTTGATAAGGCAATGAAATAAGCAAGTATAGCATTCCTGGTAGAACACCTGTAAGAAGCTGCAAAATACTTCTGACTGAGGCTGAGGTTCACCTTTCAGCAGGACAACAACCCTTAACACAGCCTGAGATGCCATTGAGTCACTTAGGTTAAAGCAATATCATGCCTGATTTAGTCAAAGTCTGAATCCAAGTCTAAAAGTAAATTGTAAATGATTATCACATATGACTTAAGATATTTTGAAGAATGTGCAAACATTTCATTTTCCAGATCTATAAAACTTGCACACAATTGAATGGCATACTTTACAGATTTTTATTTGTATAAAAAATGAAAAGCATGCATCACTTTCCCTCCACTTCACAAGTATGCACTACTTTGCATTGGCCCACAACAGAAACAATTGATCATTGACTAAAATTAACTAAAAATATGTAGATGTCCCAGGGGTGTGAATACTTTTGCAAGGGGCTAGTGATCATAACATGTTATGTTAGGTATGAATAAAACAAGCATATTAGATGCCTTGATTTCTAAACATTAACACCAGCCATGTAGTATAAAAAGGCTACAGCTAAGGAATGCAGGACTTCTTAAAGATGTGCATACACACGAGAAACAGATGGATAAAAACAGATGCAGGCGCTGTCATGGCTGCTGCTAAGGAAATCAAAGTGACTTAATCCGTAGTCTGACACCATAATCCGCACACCAAACCAGATGTCCAATTCAAAAGAGACCGTTTTCTCAAATAAAAAGGGCAAGTTATTCACACTATGACAGCCATCTAGAAACTTCTCATGACCTGTGGAAAACTGCTCGCTGTCTTCGACAGATCCATATTTTCGGTTTCAGATTCCTTCGAAAGTTTACATTTATTTCAACAGTGCGTTATTTTAGAAAAGAAAACACAACTGCGTTAAGTGTCTGGCTTAAAAATACATAAAATGGAGAAAGCAGAACAACAAGCCAAAGTTTTAACCGTTAGATGTCCGCGCGACACTTTTTGACAGCTCGACAAACGAGCAACCCGATCAGCGCGAGCCTTAATGACACCCGTATAATCAATGCTCACATCCTGACAGCTGCTCCGACACCATGTTTACCCCCCCCACGGAGCCGTTTATCCGAAGAAAGAAGAAGAAAAGCAGAAATAGCTGCGTAACAAACCCCCGTGAGTCGCGCTCCGCCGAGTTGGGCTGTTAAACGTCAAGTGCTGCCAGCTTTACCCCCGATGTCACCTAAACTAGCGGTCGCCATTTTGTTACAATGTTGTAGTTTACATGAATCCGACATGACGCTGATTACAATCCAATGGAGTCTCATTAAACCTCACCTAACGCTAATGCGCCCTCCCCAGCAACTTCAATATTGGCTGTAAAGGCGAGATCCGATCCCTGGTTTGATAAAGCGCACGTCAATCTTTATGTATGAGCTCACTCCGAAAGGCACGTCACTGGCTGTGTGATCTGTCACTTCACTCTGTTAACCCGCCTCTTAAGGTGCCTCTGGTGATGAATCGATAGCACTCACCTCTAAATGCTCGTAAAAAACGCCGAATTTTACGGCTTAAGTGGACATAAAAGGGTTGTTAATAAGTTACAAACGCGTGGTAACGCACGTAAACCGGCTGGAATAAATATTTAACCTCGTTTGCGCGGCGTTTAACGTCGGCCCACCTTTACTCGGATTCCTCCTTGAAACAGTTGGTTACACTTGAAAGTGATTTGGATCATTTTAGACTTTAATTGGCTGTTTGTTAAATCGATCATTTGTTTGCATAAAAACGCACCGACTTAAAGCGGAACGCGTTGAATTTATTTTAGCACTTCCAGGTAGCGCCGCATAGCACACAAAAAAATAAACATAAAAATAAAAATGTACCCAAGCTGTCGCCTCTTCATCCTTGTCCGGTTTCTTTATATTTCCTCCTCCGAGGAGATATTTAACGTTCAAACTACGTGACGTACAAGAAGGGCTATAAATGCACACAATTTGCTGAGAAAATAATTATAAGAAGAAGAAAAAGTGGAATTATTAACGTCACGTTTATCACCATTAACTATCAAATGCCTCCCCATGAGGAGAAATAGTAAAGAGCCCGGAGGAAGAAAAGACGTTCAGCAGGGGAATACAAGTTATAACCGCTTCTCTCAGTTATGCATCGTCAGCCCCATATTTTGTTTTCAGCCTCAACTCTCGACTCCCATGCATTACATTCGCAATCTCTTTTTAAAACACATACATCGTCTTCCGAGATGTCGCGCAAACCCACTCTGCTGTGGCGGAGAAGACCTAATTAACGCCAAGTTTAGCGCGAGGACGAACGTGCATCCGTGGATATAAAATTTTTAAAAAAGAGCAGACGCGACGGTAAATATTTGCTGGTAGTTTTTTTTTTTTTTTTTTACCTCTTCAAGTTTTTCCCCCTCTCTCTCTCTCGGGTACTCCTCTTCTTTATCACGTCGAATGGGGTAAAATGCGAAGCGACGTATCCGAGCGATTTCGTGGGATTTTTTTTTTTTTTTTTTTTTTTGACGTGTTAAAAGCGAAGGCTGGAAAGCTCTCGCCGAGACATGGAGAGGACCTGATAACAACTAATTGAAAGGTTAATCTACATAGCAGCCTGTGACAAAGTGGTACCCTCCCCCTTCTTCTTCTTCCTCTCCCACTGTAGACATCCCTTTACTTCAGCGTAGCGGACCGTCGCCCCTTTTTTAGTGCGCTCCTCACAATGATATTGTCAATTTCAATTTTTTCCACACTTTTCTTATAGCCTACATGACATATTACTACTATCTTTTTTCCCCCCTTATTATTATTATTATTATTTATGTAGCACCTATTAACATTAATTCCCAAAGGGCATTTTAAACTTCCATTTATTTAACATTTAACATGATAGGGCTACTTTTCATTTTTAAAGAAGCTATTTCCTACAATTGACACAAGGGGTATTTAACGCCCTAATCAGGTAATTAACTCCACCGAGCTGAAGACAGAGCAACAGCAATAGCAATAATGCTAATGTATGATTACATTTTTCAGTTTCTACATCAGTGCTCCCTTCACTCATCTCTCTTGCAGCAAAAGAAATACCAGAAAGCTCATTTCTCATGCAGTAATGCGGATGTAATTAGAGAGATAATTGGTTACTTCTCATCAGATAACAAACACATACACAGAGCTGGATGAGGAGCCCAAATGAAAGCTTTTCTCTCCTGTAGAGATCCATTTAGTGACTCATTTAAATAATCTAGTACACTTGTTAATAATCTTGTCATTTGGCCATCAAGAAGGTCCACAGTTAACTCAAGAAAAAAAAAGATGAAGCTTGATCTCACTGGATCAAGACCCAAAGGAAGACTTATCTGCAAGCAGATCAATTAGTTATCAGTCTTTTTGATTTTACTACAGTTGATGAGCTCTTGCAAACTTCTGATGAATACTAAATGCGATCACTGGCTACTTAGATAGGTGAGCTTTCCTAGTCCGAGGTTGAACTGCTTTGACTCTTTGTGGCACAGACTCAACAAGTGGTCAGAAACATTCCTCAGAGATTTTGGTTCAAGTTAATATGACAGTATCACACAGTAGCGATCAGATTTCTCAGATGGACATCCGTGATGTGAATCTCTACCACACTCCAAAGGTGATTTTTTTTTTTTTTTGATTGATGCTGGATCACTGTCAAGGTCGTTAGTATACAGGGAAGTCATTAAAAGGATGGAAATGGTTAACAACCTCCAAACCGTTACATCTAGTAGCACCAGGACTGACAGACTGAATATATGCTTTCATGTTGTTTACACTGAATTCTGACCTTTGAATGCAACATCTGAAATTGATGCTCATCAGACAAGGAAACCTTTTCCAGTCTCATATTGTCCAACTTTGGGGAATATGTAAGATGCATATAGCTTAAGTTTTTCTTTTGTTAGTTAACAGAAAAGACATCCAGGATGGCATCCTGTTACTGCAACCGTGCAAAGGATACAATGTTGTGTGTTCAGAGATTTCTTGTGGAATATCAATTCCTCATACCTTGTTTCTATTGAATGTGCACCTGAACTGTTGTCTTTCTATAATCCTAAACTAGTCTGACCGTTTTCCTTTGACATCAACAAGGTATTATCGTCCACACAAGTCACACACAGTTAATTGAAAAAAAATGAGTGCACCCAACTTAAAATTCAGTTTCTCCAAAAGAAACATTCATATCATGCCTAGTCTTTTTTATTTATTTCAAGAGAAAGTGATTTATTTCCAGGTGAACACCAACTGACTTTGTTGTAGTCATTAACAAAGTCATACAAAAAGATGGGTATTTTGACAAAAAAAAGTTTGCACCACTCTTTATTTTCAGCTGTGAGTTGTTTGAGCGATTTCTTGCAAGAAAAGCCTTTTTTAAACAACCCAGCCAGCATCTCAATGAGATGAAGATGTGTGTTTTGACACAACCAGGGATTTTCTTAGTTGTCAGTCAGCAGATATACTGGTATGTTTTGGGTCACTATCATTTTAAAGGTTTCGGTTTTGGTTCAGCTGACATTCAACATGTCCTCTGTTCTAGTGTCTAAAAAAATTCAATTTCAGATTCACCTCTCCTAGAACAGTACTCAAGAAGTCCTGGTCCATATTCTTCTCTATGGCAACATTTTTTTTGGCTCTCATGTTTTTCTCAGAGATCAAAGGTTCCTCCTTGCACACTCGATGAAAGTTTAACTTGCATATTATCTTTCTGATTGCACAAGAAAGATAATATGCAAGAATATCAGCAGTAGCGAGAGCCTGCAGTATGTTCAGTGATCACATTTTAGGAACTTTGGAGACTTCTTTTAGCTCCTTGCAGTCTGTTCTTAAGGTAGGTTTGCTTGGCGGACCAAACCTCAGCATGCTGGCAGTCCTTTAGAGTCTCTTGCATTTGGAGACAGTTTTTCAGACAGCGGATTGGCTGATTTAAAAATCCTTTGATTCTTCTGTAAATCCCTTACCAGACTTCTAAGCTCCTAAAATCTTCTTTCTGAAGGCCACAAACAGTTCTTTCAGTCTCATCATCGTTTTCAACCTCACTTCAGTAGTCAGGGTTGCACCAAGTAAACATCTGAGTTTTAAATATGGAAAGCCTTTTTCAAAATGCTGAGTAACACTCTTTTAATTGTGTGTTTCTGGCTTGATATGCCTGTGTGTAATATTAGCCATTAAAATAGGATTAAATGTGGGGTGTCCTAATGTAATCCTTACCAGACACTGCAATATTAAAGATTGAAAAAGTATTTTATTTACTTTTGTCGTTAAGTTATATTACTTGAAACTTCTGGTTATTTCCTGCTCTGATGCTCAGTTTGGAACTCAGTCAGCCTCAATACAGAAGTCCATTCAGTTGCAGCCATGTTGCTGGCTGATCCCCTACTTTGTTCAACAATTTAACAGGTGTACCTAATAAAGGGACTGGTGAGTTTACACTCCTGATGTTTTTGAGTGGATATCGCTCAACGTTAATTGAAGCTCCCTCATTATCAGGATTGGCTGTTCTTGTCATTATCTACATGTTTTTATTGAACTGCAGCATTTGTCATGTTTTCTGCTATTCATCTACTGAAATTTATGCAAATCGACAAAACGATTCAGTCAACAAAATTGTCAATTTAGAAAACGTTTAAGCAGGTGAAATATGAATAAAGAGAATTTGTGGATTGGGGGTCATAATAAATAGCGACTGAGCAGAGGAAAAAAAAAAAAAAAAACATGCCAGTGTCTGGGTGTAATGAATGCCACCCTGGGCCCCAGCAGGTCCTCCACTGCTGCATGGGTCCAGGGATAATTTGAATTGGAGCATGTGCCATAGCAGTCGGCCCATCCCCCCCCTCAATCCCTGCCAACTGCCACACTGGTGTTCACAAACACTGCTGCCCATCTGCGGGGCAAAACACTGGCTAGGACCCCAGTTACTCCTTTGCAAGCATTATTATTATCATCATTAGTGCTAACAGCAACTATATATGCTGGTGAACTAACTACTGTGGACAAATGTCACAAAATCTAAATTTAATGTAATGGAAAAGTGAAGTTTTGGCCAAAGAATGAAAATTAGAGACATTGCAGACCAAGCTTCACTATTTGTTGAAGGTCTGTTGAAATCACAGAACGTGATAATATGCTAAATGCTCTCGAGTTTGTTTTTCATCCGTGTGCACTGAGCAGGGCCAAAGTTTGTTGGAGAAAGTGAGAAAAGTAGTTTCCCTCATTGTGGCAGGCATCCTCATGACTTAATCATGGCTCTCTCTCTTTTTGTGTTTGTGTTTTGCCATCTGTCATCTTGAGAAGTAAATGAACCAGCTGCCATGGAGTCTTGTCCAATCAGAATGGTGGACCTTTTCAGAGCGCATCTGTGGAAATCCTTTTTTAAAAAAATGGTTGATTAAAAAAAATAAGAGTTGTAAGTAACACTTTGGCAAGAGAAAGTTTTTCAACCTGTATGATCTGGGTTAATACAAGCAAAGGCAAAAAAAAAAAAGATACAGGATGTAACAAGTATTTCAATAGGAGTAAAAACGGTTATTCTCACACTTCACTGTGGAACAGATGAGTTTGAATTAGTTCAAACACTTGAGACACTTCCCAACAGTTTCTGCCGGCGGGTGGGCAACCCTTTTTTACCAAGGGTTGCTCCCTCTGATCTCTGCCTCCCACCCCCAACAACGGCACAGCTGGGTATGAAGGATCAGGCTAATTTTCGGGTCCCTTTAATGATCGTGGCGAAGAGCAAACCACTAATCCCTTAAACTGAGAGAAATGATCTCCTGCTGCCCTGCAGACACAGAGTCCAGTTTGGACCCCAACTAGCCATGGGAGTGATGGGGGAGGCTGGGTGACCCGAGCAATTCCAGGTTACAATGACCATGATGTCAGAGTGCGATACCTTGCTGATTAAATGAAATAAAGGAACTTTACAAATTATCTGTGTGTTGCATGGTACATTTCAGGTGAGTTCACCTGTTTGTTTAAGAAATAAAAATCAAATGTGACTTTGTGTGGGTTGAGACAAGACTAATGTGGTTTTTCTTGTTTCTGTACAAACAAAACAATTACCTCCAGTTTGGCTTTGTTGTTTCTGAAAGGGAAAATGTCATCAAGGTTTAGAGCCATAAACTCTACAAATGCATGAAAATGAAACATAATGAGGCTTTTGTTGTTTTTCAAGTAAGAAAAGAAGTTTTAAAAACCATTTTTGCACCTGGACTCCAATTTTGGGTGATGATCTTACATCTGAAACACCACTATCAGATTAACTATTGATTGCGATGTAGGACATAGATCGTTTTCTTGATAGAAAAAAAAATACAGATAAAGTTAATCTATATAAAAACTATGGGTGAATTCCATCAAAGTGAAAGATGAATTTTTCCAAAAACAGCTGTTTTGCACCCAGCATTATGCAACACTCAGAATCTTGGTTCTAACTGAATAAAAGGCCCCAAACATAAGAGAAGAGGACATAGCAGAGTTCATGCCATAGCTGGAACAGGGAAACCACTGTCATACCTCAATAAAAAAAACTGTGGGTATTGTTTGTGAGCATAAATTTCTGGTAAGATAATTCTTCATCCTGCAGATGTTTTTAATTTTTGTGTGGCTTCTATCACACTACTAGCTTCCACTCTGACTTCTTCTCATCTGTGGTGTGGCAACAGTTTCATTAGAATAACTCAGATATTTTACCACGTCACTTTGTTGTAGTTTAACCCTCATGAGTAAAATATAGACCGAATGTGCAGAGAAAATTTAGACTTCTGACAGTTTTTGTCACAAGCAGTAAAACTCCACTGTGGGCTCCAGACAGCGTGCTTTTAAATCCCTTAGAGGGGTGCCTGTTTGTAAGATATCCAAGCTGCTGCTCCAAACATTTCTCTTGACTTCCTCCTCATCACTGGATGACGCTCTACAAAAGTCTTCACTTCATTGGATTAACTTAAAACTGGAGACACTGCAATCACCATTTTGTTCTTGGGGCATTCTCTGCTGTTGATAAAGTTTGGTGTTCCAACATTTAACGTCATCACTTTTATACTTTTCTTGTATTTTCAGTCGAAAAATAATGAATGTGTTGATTGATATGTGCTCCATACGAAATGGGAAGCAGTCAATAGTCGTAATTTATCAACGATGTCTGCAGCACCAAACTGCAAATCAAAGGAATATTCTTTTTTAAATTGAATAACAAACATTTTTACCAACAGGCATCAATGATGATGCTTTGTACAGTGCTAGCTTGCATTAATTATTTACACCACAACAGGGCCTTCTGCACACACAATAAAGTTTTGTAAATAGCCCTAAAATAAATTAAGCTTTTATTGCAGCAGCATAATTGTACACTAAACAATTAGGAAAATTACACCTTTAATTTCAGTATATTTCTTCAACAAGGAAAAAATATCCATCCTTAGGAAATATTTGATTTTACAAACCGCTGGTGACAAACTTAATGATATATGTAATCATTTTTATAAAATCAATGGAACTGAAATATTTTATGAATGTTCACCTTTTACTTTTTATTAGTTGACTTTCTGCTACCCTGGTATTTAACCTTCTTAGGGTGAGTGGTATGCATGAAATCCCTAAATTACTGCGATATTTTAAATGGAAATCTATGCATGCTTCTTCCAGACAACTGAAAGTTTATTATCATTGGATCTGTCAGCAAAATACAAGAGTCAAACCAACACCAAAATGGTTCACCAGTCACCAACATTCTGAATTTACCAGAATAAGGGTTGATTATTTTTTAGAATAACGAAAATAATTGTGTGATCTTATGCTGCTGCAATACATTTATTCTGACAGTTGAGAAGTGGATTGTAATGCTGTTTGTTCATTAGCATTTTGTGGTCACAAGTTACTTATAACTCTCAGGTAAGGGAACAAGAAACCACATTTTAGAATAACTACTGAGAAACACTTGAGATATCCCCACACTATGATACATTTCTCAGACATTGAGCAATTTCTTTTATATATTTAAATTATATTATGAAATACCTTCAAGCTATTTCTTAAATATTATGGACAAAGTACCAAGACAGTGTCTACATTACTGATTCAAAATTATCAGCTATTCAGGTATGCAGTTGTTGATTCTCAAATGGCAGTTGCTGCTGGAATGCGGCTTTTCCTATGAACATTTTCCAATGTCTGATGCTAGTACATTGTTTGAATAGCATTATAATATCTCAATTGCTTATCATGGCTCGATAAATCCATCAAGCCGCAGCAATTATTTTCAAAATGCCAGTCAGAGGGAATAGAAAAATACACGTAAAATCCTGAAGAGTATAAATCGGTACAGTAAGCATCTTGTGGGAATGACAGATCGGATTAATCAGTGAAAATCCGGTTTCTCTGGGAAGGTGCATCCGACCCGCCTGATGATCACGTTGGCTGCATAGTGCCCGGCCCGGATGCACTCCTCCAATGACTGCTCTTGGACAAGTGCAAAGAGGAATCCTGAGGAGGAAGAGCAACTGAGGTAACTTATCAGAATCAGAAGTTTCAGAATAAATCAAATTTTATCACGTGTTAGCAATGCAGACAGTTCTGTTTCCTTGACAAAACCCATGTGTTGGAAGTTCTATGTTAAGCTGATTGACATACAATTTCATACCTCCAACAAAGGCGTCTCCTGCTCCGTTGGTGTCCACAATGTCATTTTGGTCGATGTCCAAAACAGGAAACACGGTCACTTTATCACCTGTGGCCAGGAAGTAAAATGATAGTTACTTGAAACGCCTCTAATTTTCTTCACAGTGCAAAAGTATTTATAGCCATTTAGCTTTTTCACATTAAAACCACACAGTTCGATGTATTTCAATGAATATAATGGGATAAATCAACTTAAGGTAGAGAACATTATAAAAAAAGAATGAAAATGATACATGGTTAAATGCATCATTTCACAAACATGATGACTAGTTCCACAATTTTTCTTTGTAAAAAACCTCAAACGTCAGATTAGACATTTAAATCCCTGCCATATACTCTTTGTTCTGGAAGAGGATGACCCTTCAGTCCAATGTGAAGTCCTTTGCAGCCTATAAAGCAGTTCTTGCAGGATTTTGCTGTTTTCAGTTTCATCGATCTTCCCCTCAACTCAGACCAGTTTTTCTATCTTTGCTGAAGAAAAGCATCTCCACAGCATCATGATGCAACCTCCATGTCTGACAGAGTTCTGGCTGTGCGCAGGTCACTTTTCTTCCTCTATAGGTGTATTGTTAGAAACGGGAGTGAAAAGTAATGCATAGAACACTGTTAAAAAAATGTTATTGCTGAAACCAGTTAAAACCTCATATCATTTTCCTTCCACAGAATAATTATGAACCACTTTGTGTTTTGAATTAGCACATAAAATTACAATAAAGTGCATTAAGGTTTGTTTGTGATTTCCTGAGATTAATAGTGTTAAGTAATCACTTAGCTGAGGATAACATTCTGCTGTGTGAGAGAGCATTTCAGTTTGAATAATCATATGTGAAATATTAGAAGATCTTTGAACTACAAACAGTTTGAATCTGGAACAGCTTAGATCAGATTAACAGCAATGCTGCCGCTCAGATGTTCGTCCTCCTAAAGAAAACTACTTCCCACATCACACACTTGAAAATGTTTTTACTTTTCCTCACTCCTGTCAACCTTAATGCTTGGCTTGGATTTTTATGCCCCCCTTGGGATAAACTATCTCAGCTTTGGTGATCAAATATGTACAAAGTTAAAGAGCGTCAGTGCTAGAAGTGGTTAGTTTGTCCAAAGCCAGATGGTTGATTGAATAAATAAATAAGGATAAATAATAAAATATAAAACAAATCCAGATTTACTAATATTGCACATATTCACAACTACAACTCATCTGAAAGAACTTTATATAATGAGAAAACTAACATTTCACTTTCAAGAACTACTCAGAGCTCCTGGGGGAAAAAACTAATAAGAAATTGGTACATAATCAAGGCTTTTTTTCTTTCCAATAAGGTGATATATTATGTACTTATGTTAGTTTCAGCTGAATGTTAATGTTTGCTGACAGAAAAGTCAGTTTTTCTTCAGCTCAGTTTCTAACAGCAACAATATTACAATGTTTATTCCTTTGCGTTCTTTGGGCGGTTCTTTGTGTTTTAAGAATCAGTGAGATCAGCAGTGAAAAGTCTCTTCTGTTAAACTATTTCCCTACATGATCTTAAACAATCAGTCTAAGGCACTTCAATAAATTTATCTGGAGTTATATGTTATGAACCACGACAAAATCATGTAAAATTGTTAAATGGAAGTAAATTGAAACAAAAAAATTTGTAATTATTTTTTTAAAATCAAGATTTGAAAGGCATGATTCACTTTTGTATTGAACTCTCCTGATTCATTGCTTTGCAAACCCAGCTTTCACTGCAGTTAAAGCTTTAATTTGCTAGGGTTTTGACATAATTTCTCTGCTGTGAAAGGCACTTAGATAAAACTTGCTGTCTTGCATGCTTTTATCTTAACTTCTTTTCATTTTTACATAAATTATTTTTAAAATATCACCAATTTACTGAAAAAAAAATAGATACATGTGCTTTTTTAAAAAAATGCTACTTCTAGGTAAATGGTTAGCCTTTTCAACATTCCCAAATTTTATCACAGGCATTTTACCATCACTACACATCTCAACAGTACAGGAGCTCAAATATGTCATTAGTTTACTAAAAAGCATAATGGAAATTATCATTCTCAACGAGTTTTTAATAAGTTTTTAAAAGTTACTCTATTCTATAAGTGACCAAATAGAAGATGGATGAAAATCTAGAGGAAATATTAACTTTTCAGACGGTGAACAAGCTTTACGCGCCTACTGTTTTGGATTAACCGCAGCGCGAGGTCAGTGTAGTGGTTTCACTTTAAAACTGAATCCATAACATGAGAGTCTTTTTATTATTTTCAGAGGATTACGCTGAAATCACATACTGCTTCAATTATCAGCAGTGTGTGAACTTCAAAGACGCTTCCAGCTTAAAGTGGAGAGAGGGGTGGAAGGAAGAGGAACAAAAATCTACCAGATGACAAAGTCTTGAGGTGTAGAGTGACATTAAATCAGCAACTTATGTCAGAACAATGTAAACCACACACACGATCTTCAAACAATCCGAGGGCCCCGGTGCAGACGTGAACCTTCAAGAGGGTGTCGGAGACAAAAGACTGACATGTGGATGAAAGTAACAAGAGGAGGCTGACAGACCTCTTATTGAGAAGAGACACGGGGAGTTTAAGGAGAACATGAAATAGAAAAGAACTACAAAAAATTTGTTTAATGAGGCTCCCTGCTATGTGACAAGGGCTCAGAGTCGATCTGAGCAGCAGATAAGACACCGCACCTTATCAATTTTTTAATACGTTAAAGTTCCCGCCCTGAAGAGCAAGAGATAAACCTGCAGTTGAACACCTGATGTCATTGAACAAAGCTGAAGAAACTCCTTGTGTAGCGAAAAGCTGCGCAACAGATCATCTATCAATAATGCAGCAGATAAAAGAGTTCAATGGTGTTTTCATAACAGCACTAATTCTTGTGAAAAGGAAGCAGATGAGTGATAAAAATAATTACAATAAAACAAGAATCCTTTCAGGATCAGCTAATTAACAGCATAAAGACTTTGTTTAATTAATGCCACAGATGAAGCCTGAGAGCCCTCCTCTCTCTTGAAATGATTAATCACACGTAAAAATGCGTGCTTACAATAAATTTGAGCTTGTCAGTTATTCTGCTGTTGAGTGAACTGAAGTCGTTAAATGTGGTCTTGCAAATTCGACGAGCTTTGCGGATGCTTTAAAAGGCTGAAACTGCTGCACTTGTTCTCCAGAGGCCGGAGCTCAACACAGCCAGATTATCTCTCATCAGGATTCTCAACTTTGTACTTAGAAGTATTAGGACTTTGATGTTTTGTCACGTATTAACTGTATTAACTTTAAAAAAAAAAACAAGAAAATGTTTAGATTTTAATAATAAGCCAACAAAATGAGACACAACTTTAACAGTCTACATCCTGCACAGCTCAAATGTTTGGCAACACTTCAAATGAATGTTTCTATCCATCTAGACACATAAATATCTTAACATATTTATCATTATTAAATTCATTTGCAAAAACACATGTAAAAAAAACAAAAAAACACTCCTTTATTTTATTGCGGCAACACTACAACCGAAAGTTGGGTGAAATTAATAAATCAAATTGTTCTACATTTTCTAGCATTTGTGCATTACCACATAGTTTTTTTGTAGGTTCTTACAAATTATTTATTTCTAAGTTTACACCCTTTCACATCCATTTTGATTGGTCTAAAACCACACTGAGTTTATAAATATTAGGTACGGCTCCGAATAGACATATTTACTCATGTCCAAACAAACTCCAAGTCCAGATTTAATGTTGAAATGTGATGCGATGGAAGGGGAGCCGAATACAAAATGCACATATTTTTATTCGGAAAAACATTTGAGAACCATGTTAGCACAAAATTCTAACTGAATACATTGACAAGATGTGAAAAAGTCCAGGCAGAAAGAATCATTTTGTAATAAACTCAAAGGGATGCAATTATTATTTATCGCCTTTGCAAAATTCACCTAAAAGTGCAAGTGAATAATTAAACATGCTTCAAAATAAAATGTATGATCACTCTTTTTGAAAATTGTTTTTACCTCTCAGTATTTGGATTTATCACTTACAGACAGATCTGTGAATTTCTATCTTATTTTCACATTCAAGTTTTAGCAAGTTAGCACAATAACAGAGTAGACTCTTTTCACGCCAACAGTTTGGTTGCATCTTTTAAGTCATAATAACTCTTGAATTTGCCACAAAACGTTTTGCAAACTGTCCTGTCATTGCAACCTGTTTCACAGACGATTACACAAATTCTGAATTCAGTTGTTTTTGTTTCAAGCCTCTGCAATCAACGGAACTGCCCTTTAACACACTGTTTATGGATTAAATAACTTTCAAGGCCTCCAGTTTGGTAAAAAGTATCAAGTAGCTTGATAGACAAAGACATTTTGATTAGAGTAATTACACAGAACCAGTTCTTCCATTCCAGCCATTATTAAAGACAATCAGGAATCACTCTCAGTTCAGGTTAAAAAAAAACTCGAGACCTCTCCAGTGGATAATCTAAAGAACTTTGCTTTTATAGAACGTTGTGCATTAGAAAGTAGGTCATAAAGTCGGCATTTCTTCAGATCAAGCTAGAGCTCAACAACTGGACTCAGGTTGGATGGATAGTTTTGATTCTTCCAAGTTAGGATTTTAGAATGCGTTGACAAAAATGATAGGGAAACATCTCCAGTAATGAGCAAGAATGTCTCATTCAGGAGGAAACCAGAGTCTGATACCTTCAGTGATGCTGAAAATGCCAACAGGGACGGCCATTCAAAATCATTGCAGATAATTCTCAGTGCCCTTTTACAGATGGCTGTTCAATACATAGTTTGACATTGTTTGAAAAACCAGGCTTTGTTAGTTGTTTTCAGGTTTGCTACTGGAAACACAGTCAACTTACTTCAGTCAAGGAGATTCTGCTGATCATGCTAGTAGAGATTCCTGTTAGAATCAGGAAGACTGGAAAGAGCCGAAAAAGCTTTTTTTTTGGCTTTGACACCAAAGCAGCCTACACTGAGTGGACAGCAGTGAATCTTCTATCGTATGGTGACATTTGAATGGGATACAGCGG